CCAAAGAGAGGAAGAAAGAAAGCAAGAAAAAGAAAAAGAAAAGAAAGTATTTCATTGTTGCTTTGCAAAGACAATGAATTCTTCACGCGCAGGTTCCCCCGTGTCTCATTTCTTTATTTCAATTCCTCGATTAATATGTCTCAATTTCTTCATTTTAATTCCTTAATTAATTATGGCCCTGGCCAGACAGTATCTATTGGCTTTACACAAATTGCTTTTCTTCTCCGTGCCTCAGTGTCCTCAGCTGTAAAATGGAGATGATGTTTGTACAAGATCGGATAGAGTTGTTATGATTAAATGAGTTAATGTGTGTAAAACTCATAAAACAATGACCATCACATAGTAATCACTCAATATATGCTTAAAATTATCATGATCATCCTCATCATCATCATTTTCATCACCTGCATCTGTTTCATGATGGGTCAGGAATGATTAGAAAACTAAGGCATTCCTGATCCTGTTAGGTAAATATATACTACAATTTATGGAATCAAGCTTAACTGTCCTAAGGATCTTTTCTCCAATTTGTTGTTTTTAGGAACAAAAATTCTTTTTAATACTAGTTGTGGTGAATATGAATAAACATAATTGGTTTTTCCCTTGACATTTGACTTCTTTTGAACTTTTTTTTTTTTCTTTACACCTAGTATATCATTTAGGCTTCACAATGACCATATGAGGTAGATAAGGAAATCCTATTATATTTGCTAACTAATTTTCCAGCAACCTCTACTATCCTATATATTGTTGTTGTTGTTCTTAAGTGCCATCAAGTCAGTTCTGACCCATAGTGACACCGTATAGGGTTTCTGAGGAGTGGCTGGTGATTTTGAACTCCTGACCTTGTGTTTCAAACTGACTTTGCAGTCCAGCACATTAACCCACAGCACCACACCAGGACTCCATCCTATATACAGGCAATCAAAACAAATGTTATAAAATCCATGAATTTAAGAGACTTATTCACATTCTGAAACAGAATCTAGTTATTCTTATTCTGTTATATATTCCTTTATTATTGTCTCATTTTCTTCAGTCTCTAGATTAATAAACAAAAGACGGAAGATAAAATTATCAGAGGAGAATTAGCAATGGAAAAGAGAGAATATCAATGAAAAGCAGAAAGTAAAAAGGCAAAGCTATCTGATAGTTCATGCGGTGGAACATGCCCATTCCCAAGAATGCCAGACCAGTGATGGACTATATAAATTCTTGATGACCCTGGCAGCCTTCACACCTTTCCACCACACAAAGACAAGACACACATGACTTAATATATGCAGTGTTAGGTAGCATTTCCTTCTTACCATGTATAGCAGAAAACACCAGTTTCTAGGCCTGGTTTTATATAATTCAAGGTGCCACCACATCAATTGTACATTTGATTAGACTTGAGGACTATTACTCAGGACAGTGAATGAGGAAGACCACAGAAGAACTGATGCATTTGAGTTATGGTGTTGGAGGAGAATATTAAAAGTACCATGGACTGTCAAAAGAACAAACCAATCTATGTTGAAAACAGTAGCGCCAGAAAGCTACTTGGGAGCCAGGATGACCAGACTTCGTCTCTCATACTCTGAATATATTATCACGAGGGACCAGTCACTGGAGAAGAATATCATGTTTGGTAAAAAAGGGTCAGAGAAAAAGAGGAAGACCCCCAACGAGATGGATTGGCACAGTGGAGGAGGTGATGGGCAACCATTGTGAGGATGGCCCAAGCTAGGGTTGTGTTTCATTCTGTTGTGCTTAGGGTCACTGTAAGTCACTACCTAACAGCAACAACAACAACAACAACAACTCAGAATTTTCAAAAGAAAACTGGTGAGAACTTTATGTGCTATCAAATAGTTAATACCTGAATATTTGCATTGCTCTGACCAAACTTCAGGATTTATACCATTTGCAAATTTAAACAGTGGGGAAGTTTTCTAAAGACTTGAAAACTACAAAGGAGTTATATACTTGGTAGACAAAAGAGAAAGCAGTCATTTGTTTACCACTCTTGTAAGAAACCACACTACTGACATATTGTAAGTGTACACCTGTCCAATTTTGACTCTTTATGTCATTTTGCCATTTCTTGTCCAAAGTGTGCCAAAGCTGAATTTGAAAAGACCTTAAGAAATGAAATGAAAATGATGCAAGCAAACATTACCACAATGAAACTATTTCTTTTTTTTTTTCCTAATAAAAATTTTCTAAAAGACACTATTTGGAATATATATGAGAGATCAAAGTACTGTCCTTAGGCAACTTCCATAAAGCATTACACGTGCCCACAGCTTAAACAAACATTTCTGTTTAAGCCTATAGCACTTCCATTAAGCTGACACTTTGAGTGTATGACTCATTTCAAACCCAATTTAAGCAAACTAGCAAGACAAGATGGATGCGTCTCTCAAATGATGACCTAATAGCCTTTCCTGGAGCTGAGCACATAACCTCTACACCTTTATTCCATGCCCACCCACTGGAAATATACAATCGCTAGTCCTGTGAGAACACAGCTGGAAGTTCTGTCCATGGAAACTCAGTGTGGGAAGGGGAACTCAAGACGAGAGTTTTATACAGTGAGGTAATAGTCAATGTCTTTACACAATGGAATTTGAAACTTGGAATGTAAATTAATGTAATCTTAAGGGTGGAAAGCAGAATGGAGATGCTGAGAAATGGGTTAAAACAAAGAACAGTCCTCTAGGTGAATAATCACCTTATTAGAGAACCAGAGGCCAGGGAAAAGTCATTCCAAATTACTTTTGGCACCTTTCTTCCATTAGATTAATAATGGACACCTGGATGCATTTGGCATACTGACAGTGGTGGTTGTGTGCTGTGGCGTCAACTCTGACTCATAGTGAACACTGGATAGGGTATCCGAGGCTGTAAATCTTTATGAAAGCAGAAAACCTCATCTTTCACCCATGGTTTCAAACTGTTGACCTTGAGGTTAGCAACCCAACTCATAATCCACTATGCTATGAGGGTT